GAGAACAAGTCTTATGAGGAGCGGCTGAGGGAACTGGGGTTGTTCAGCCTGGAGAAAAGGAGGCTGAGGGGAGACCTCATCGCTCTCTACAACTACCTGAAAGGAGGTTGTAGCGAGATGGGTGTCGGTCTCTTCTCCCAAGTAACAAGCGATAGGACGAAAGGAAATGGCCTCAGGTTGCGCCAGGGGAGGTTTAGATTGGACGTGAGGAAAAATGTCTTTACTGAAAGAGTGGTTAAACATTGGAACAGGCTGCCCAGGGAAGTGGTTGAGTCCCCATCCCTGAAGGTATTTAAAAGACGTGTAGATGAGGCACTTAGGGACATGGTTTAGTGGGCGTGGTGGTGGTGGGTCGACGGTTGGACTCGATGATCTTAGAGGTCTTTTCCAACCTCAATGATTCTATGATTAAAACTGAATTTTCCTCATATCCTAATGCACAAGCAACTGCTGTAACTGCCAGCCCAAAAGCGATTGCCCTGAAGAGGGTAGGAAGGCAGGGAGGCTATATACATTTACTGCTAGAAGGAGCTGTAGTACTTCCAAAACTCTGAAATTCAAGAACTCCCTAACTTACTGAATTATGTTTAAACTAAAAACCAGAAGGCTGCTACCTGGACTGGCAGGGACCTTCATACTACTTGTTGGCAGTTCTAGGCAGCTGGCTGGTGAAGCTTTATGAACTTTCCTTGTTAATTCAGACCTCTTGGGGCATGAGGAATCCTTGCTGCTACTGTCCCCAGCTGGCAATGGTTGTCCCCTTCTCCGTCCCTGACACAGGAACTGACGGCACATACAACCAGCCCGATGCAAAACAGGGGATCATTCCTGCAAACCTGTTTTTCTCTGCAATTGCAGTGTAACTGGGAGCAGACACATGGGTGGTTACCGTATCTCGGCTGAAGGGTGTCAACTTTTTACCTTACTCCAACAAAAGCAAGACCACCTTTAATTGCATGCTTACATTTCCTTGTGGTAGGATAGCAGTCCGTCCACTGACTCTGCAATGGAATACAGTACCTGCTTCAAGTACTGTAACCAATTTTAGGCCCTAAACTTTTGGAGTAACTAACAAAGGATTAAATGAAAACGTGAAGTTTTAGTCTAGGAAATGAAAGATCTGAAGGGATATTCAATTCTGGAACAGGTAACAGCAAAGGAAATACATCACAGTTGCTGAGAAACAAGAAAGAATTCCTAAGCGATAACTGCAGTAAGCAAAATCCACTTTAGACTTGAGGCAGACATTTCCTAGAATGAAGTTAGACAAGCATTAGGCTGCACCAGAAGACTCAGCTGTCCATAGCTGCAGGTTTTTAGGAAAAGTTAAATATCTGTGAGGAACAGTCTAGGTAGAGCTGATCCTGTCTTAGAGCAAGGAGAAGGCACGGCCTAGACACCTTTCTGAGGTTCTTTCCAATCTTTTATTTCTAATTAGATATTTCCCTAATATTTTGCTGTAAATATTGCACAATTATGCCCAGGATAGAAGTGGACTAGACTGTGCTGAATAGAAGAAATAGGTCAGGAAAATACTGTTAGGGTATGATCCAAATCACTGACAAGTTCAGGGGCAGTGTAGACCAATGGCATATAACAACAACAAATGTCCTCAAATAATGCTGGAGAAAATAAAAAAAAATGGAGAAATGTTAAAGACTGTTCAAATCAATTGACAGGTTTTATGTACAGGGACAGATTCACTTCTAAGTGTGCAAGTTTCCCTGATCTTGTAAGCTCTCCAGCAGGAATGAACGAAAACACTTTCCAAACTTTTTGCGTTGTGGAAAGATTAAGTTTCAAACCAATGTGCTGCTTTATCAAAACAATTTCAGACTCTTGTACTGATGAGTATCACACAAACTGATTTCTGCACTGCAAAATACCACCTTTTTCATATTATTTTTGTTTACACTTGTTTAATTTTGGAATGAGTTTTTAGAAAGGTTTTACATACCCTCTTCAGTTTTGATTTCAGAATTCTTCAGCTCTTCTGCAGTGTAAACTAAGACAAAGGGAATAAAATTAGAGTATGTTTAATGTATTATGTGATCATCTGTAAGGGTTTAAAATGAAGGAATCTCATGTCCTCAGGTGCATATAGCATTGCGTATTTTGGGCACAAGCACTCCATTTGGCATTCAGGGGAAAAAGACCTGAGCCTTTTGCATTAATAAATTTGAAACTGGGAGCAGATGAACTGTTCATCCTATTCTGCATCAGCTGCGAGCCACAGGTAGAACCATAGCACCACATTTCATGAACTCATTGTCTGATGTAGTGACGTAGACAGCCTGTGCTCTTCTAATATTCTGCACAGGGGCTAAATTGGCAACATGAAGGTCTCACACTATACTTAGTATTTGAAAATCTGGAACATCTTAGAAAACACAATCTGGAAGAAATATGACAGAAGTGATAACGTCACCTCCTCAAAACAGGACAAAAAGTAGAAACAAACTGTCCTGCTACTCTCAGAGTTGAGCAGTTGGCTCAAGACCTGCTGTCTGCTGTTTTTTTATCCGTACTATTTATGAGACAATGCATCACAGCACAACTGGCTGAAAGCAGGTATTGTTTTTAAGAGGTACTACACTCTTGCCTTCATACCACACATACACATTCAGTATGTTACTGCCTACTCTACATCACTTTATATTAATTTCTGTATATTTTATATATATTTAAGTTGTTGCAAATCAAGAACTAAGTGGAACATACAACATCCGTCAATGAAGTCATGGCATGTATTACAGGTTCAGCTTCTAACATTTTGGAGCAACCAAAGTAAATTTTTCCTCTTCCTTTTAGCCTAACTTTCTAAACAAACACTGTGAGCCAGTTCAGTTTTCAGTCTAACTTGCAGGACAACAATCCAGGTAGAGGTGCAATACTGACAAACAAAATCGAGGATGCTTCCAGCTCTTTCAATATTAACGTTTACTCAGTATTTCTGTCTTCCTTTCTGAACAGGAGTAGGTGGAAACTACTTGTTTATTTTTAAATATTTTCCTACATATTTCACTGTAAACCAGCAATCTGGTGGGAAAAGGACTACAAACACATAGTATGCTGAAGAATCCGGGACACAAATGGACTCAGAACAGTGAACAAGTCTGCTATACTGACTCACTGCATATTACACATTTGCATGGCAAACACTTCATGGATTATTCCATACCTGCCTGAACGTCAGACACCCAGCTTTCTATCACCTCTATTTATTTGTTTATAAACACAGAGAGCCAGGCTGCAATTCTTTTAACTCTATGAGTCAGCTTCAGCAAACTAACGACTACCTTGTGGTTAAGATACTCTGCCACAGGATCAAAAGTGCTGTGCTCCAGCCCCCAGAGTTTCAAAACCAATGGAACCAAAAAAAAAAAAACAAACCCAAACCTTAAGATACTGCCACAGGATCAAAAGTGCTGTGCTCCAGCCCCCAGAGTTTCAAAACCAATGGAACCAAAAAAAAAAAAACAAACCCAGTTATCATCGGGCAACCTGGCCTGAAATTTTTAGGAACCTATGAGGATTAGCTCCTCCTCCCTCATTCTGTGGGGCTCCCATATCCCTGGTCTGAGGCTAAGCTAAAATAAGCATCAAGCAGGTGCAGTCCACATGTAAATCCATTACCCAAGAACCAAAAAAATCTTACAGAGCACCAGTGGTGTTATTCTAATTCAAAGCCAGCCAGCTACAAAACTTTGGTCATATATTGGAGAGACGTGGTAATGAGGAGCATGTACACATCTCAAATTACACAAACTGTTTTATGCAATGCAAAGAGTGTCATGAAACAGACTTCCGGCATAGCTGCCTGCAGATTTATGTTCAAGGGGTTGCTGGCACTCTGCCATTCCTGTTTATATTTCCATTCAGGTTACTTCTATGTTTATCCTGTTTCTATATTGCAGGAAAGTCATACTAGTTCTTATTCAATGTTATCCCTTTGAAAATAAAGCAAATACAGTACAGCTTAATAAATTAACATAAAAATAAGAACATTCCTTGCAAAAAATCAGATACTGTTGATTTGGTTTAGGTATATTCACATATCACACATACCAAAAGGAAAGTGCCAAGTCTAGGAGTCCAGTATTTCTTCCTAATTTCTTTTCAGAACTGGGAAAAAAAACCCATACTTTTTTGGCATATGCAGGACCTTCGGTCGACACATGTTTAAAATATATTTTGATGCTCTTTTTCCCTTACTTTGAATTGCAGGGCTAGAAGACCAACAGTCAACATAACTATATAACGACAAATGATAGATGTATAAATCAAATGGGACAAAACAGCTCTAAAACTGTGTAGAATTCTTATCTGGAAAATGCAATGACAGAGTATTTAAAAAGGGACCCAAAGGACTCTAGTATTATCAGTGTGGTCTCAGGAAAGCTAAGCCTTACTATGACAACAGCTAGCTAGCACGAGAATTCTGCTTTCCCCAAACACTAACTCATCTGAGAGGGGAAACTGATTGCAGATGACAAAGGAAGTGAAGGGCATAAATTTAGTCATATGCCTAAATCTTTGCCAGATTGAGGCCAAGAAAGATTATGTTGAGACCATCAGTTCCTTCTCTCCCCACCCACCTCCAGGTGCAGGCTCCTTTCAATTATGCCTTCCGGGGCACTTAAACAAAACTTGTTGATTTAATGAAGAAAAGTCCTGTTCCCCTGCACAAAGTTGAAGCTCATCTCCCCTTCACTTTCATCAAGGGAAAGAAAGATGGAGAAAGGCACTCTGTCTAAGCAGGAACTTAGCTTTGGCAGTCTGAACAGCCCTCAGGAGGAATGTTCTTTTATTTCATTGATGACAAATAGGGCATAGATAGATCTCCTGGCCCAAGCACCAAGCTGAGTGTCCAGGCAAGGCAGTATGAATGCTACCTGGAAAAAGTTGTCTGGACTAGGACATGACTTACATATCTAACAACAATAGCCAAGACTAGGGAATAACAGTCAGAAGAGTACATAGGTGTAGTCTGGTCTTACCAGCCTGCCCATCCCTGTGGCCAGACTTTGCAGTGGCCCAAGCGGTTTCTACAGTTATCCTCTGGCAGTTCTGAGATGAGGTTAGAGATTGTGGTTGCCGTCTTTCATCCCAACTGAAAAAAAGCATGCAGCAGTCACAAAACAGTGAGAACCTTTTCCTTCTAAAGCCTTCCCTGCCAATACCTCTATTTCTCTGTGTCCAACTAGACAATTACAACTTAATTTGCAGGTGAATTTACGCTCCACAACTTTAACTGATACCTGGCAGAGCTGTTGGTGCCCTTCCTTTATAGGAAACAAAAACCTTCAGTGCCTTAGTTCAGACATTTCAAATAAAACTCCCCAAATTAGTAAACATTTAAAATCTAGTCCTTGATTATTGCTTAGGAGTACAAGCCAGTGAAGATAAAGTAGGTGTTGGAGGTGAATCATCTTTTTTTCTATGCCATAGTTTCTATTCTGCAGAGTTCGTAAAAAAAGGAAAAGCCAGGTAATGGATTCAAACTATTTGGTCTGTAAAAAAGCTAAAAATCTCCTTTCAAATACACTCTCCTTTGCCCCCATCCACTCTATCTCGTACCTAAGTATTTGGCTCAGTGTACTGCTGCTTATCTTTAACTATCAAACAAATATACAAAATGTAATTGGAAAACATGCAAGTTCACAACCCAGTGATTGAGAAATACTGTTCATCATCATAAAAAAATGATTGCAACAAGTGGCAGAGCATTTGGTAGAGGAAACAACGGCCTTTGCTCCCGACTGCTCCCCCATAGACAATTACCCTCATGTATGTACACATACTGGTTTTGCTTGGCTGAACGTCTTCACTTTCTTTTCAACTCGGTGTTTTTATATGGTCCTTCATAATGCCATCAGGAGGGAAGTGACAGTTTTAAACCATGCACTTTGAAAGACAACAACAGAATGGCTGACAATTACAAAAGACTCTCTCTTCCTCATTCAGCACTGCCACATCTGAAGAGGAGGAGAAACTGGTTCTCCTATCAATACTCAGCTGCACAGGTATTTTTCACTTGCCTTGGTCTGTATTCCCAGAGCTTAAATGCTGACATGAAATTCCCATGGATATTACTGATTATGAATCAGGTAACAACAGGGAACCAGACTTTCTATGCCTGTATGTGGAAGAGGAAAAAAAGGCAGCTCTCTGAACTATTCTAGCTAGACACACATATCTCCAATGCAGACAAAACTGGCTTACTCCTCTAACCCAGTAGGGAACACACAGTGTCCATCAGAGGGTAGAAAGGACACAGAGCTTTTATTTTCCTTCTTCCAAACTAGTCCACAGATGGGAATCACTGTAAAATGGAAACACACCACACCTTTGGTATTTCTCCTCAACTGCCTTCAGTAAGCAGGGAAGCAAGCGTATGTCTGAATGAGCATTTAAGCACAGGGTTAAGTCCAAACACCACAACTAATCTAGAGTTAAAACTTTAGTACTTGAACAATATTTCAGATAGATAAACCAAAGATTTGTTTAGGTTTTTGATGCTGAAAAAACATTTAATATGTTGTCCTGGTTAAACCACGACATATGTCCTTGTGAGATTAAGCTGAAACCACAGACAATAAAACTCAAATGCTAATCTTTTTTAAAATATCTTTTTTATCCATGTTTGCTACGAATGAGAGTCTTTTGTAGGAAGGGGCCGTGCTACAAACGACATATTTGTTCCTAAAGGCTCCAACTACCTAGTAACAAAGAAGGGAAACAAACAAACATTATGCTAACATTGGGTTGGTTTGCCACAGTTACATCCTCTGATACTTCTGGGACTGGTGACCTTTCAGAGTAACTATTACAGTGAATAGTCTGTTCTGTGCAATGCATTTCATTTTGTTCAGGAGGCCAGTTTAGAGCTTTCAGGTTTTCACAAGGTCAATACAAACTATGTACACACAAAAAAAGAAAAACAGAACTATAATCATAGACTTCTGTCTTCTCATTAGATACATCGTGAAAAACCCCCAACAATAGAAAGTAACTTCCAGGGTCTCTCCTGCATAGAAGGCAACTTGCATTTCATTGCAGGAATCTTAGTGTGACCAAAATATTTGTTTTCTTGTAATAAAACATAACTAATACAAACACACACTTGGTCTAATGGGAATTTAAGACTCAAAGAGACCATCTGTGTCATCAAAACAAGTTCTTTGAATCAATGATTAACTTGAAAGGGTCTAAGAAATATATACGCCAAGTACCACGGAGCACAAAAGATTTTGTATTATCTCATAACAGATGACTGAACACCTTGGGACCAAAGCATTATTTTGACACTCACATATAAAGTCCTAATTATACACATTTATTATTCTTTTTAACCCAGAATGGTAAATCAGACTCCTTGATCTCATGAACACTGCTAACCAAATTTGTTGTATTTATCCTTAATTTTGACATGGAAGTCAGATAAAGAAGCTACAGAGTTACTTTTGGTGCCAGCGATTTCACACATGGGAAGAGAAAACAAAAGCGTTGTGTATCTCCTGTAAAACAGGAGACAAAGATACCTTTTTTGTTTACAAAACCTCTGTATATCCACTGAAAACAGAACTGATAGGGCTAAGACATCAATCTCATACTTTTTGCCTGACTGCTCTAAAAGTAGCAAGCACCAATTGATTTGCTTGTCCTCCATTTACAAAATTTACTTAAAATACTAAAGGAGACATTTATCTTCCTTCCATTTCCTCTTAGTGGGAAAGGAAAATAAAAACAAAAAAAAAAAGAGAACAAGCACACAAGCCAGAAAGGAAGGTACAGCTACCCCATCAGATGAAGGTATGAGGAAAATACCGCTGCAGTGGTAATGAGGCATCAGTGGTCAAGGATTGCAAATAAGAGAATCCCCACAAATTACATGACATGACCTAGTCTCCGTTCACAGGCACAACTGAAATCTAGTATAAGCTGGAATTGATATGCCTGACCTAAAATCCTAAACCAAGAAAAGCTGTCTGATTTATGATCTCCTTACCATTGCCAGTCTTCAGGCCTTAGATCATCCCAGAACATATGAACTAAACAATGCATACATAAACCAAGTCATTTTTAGAGCGGATTAATTCCCACATTTTGAGGCAAATGCAAACAGCACTGGATTGACACATCATGACTGTTTTCATAGGATTAGCAAAGACTACCAAATCAATGAAAACATTAAAAAACCAAGAGATCTCCTTCCTGCAGAAAGCAATCAGGCTGGAACCCTAGTTTCAGTGAACTAGAAAGTCTGTGGTTAAAACAAAAAAACCCCAATTCTCCGCCCCTATTCATCAAGTTTAAATTTGATTTTAAGCAGACTGATTTCAGTCACAGCACAGACTGGCATAAGGAAAAAGGAAGAAGACATTAACGTAGTTCTGAATTTAAACAGTTTGCACTTATGTAGTGCTCTGTACCCACAGATCTTCAGACACTTCACAAACTGTGAATAACTGCTCTTCTCACCTCCCATTTAAAGAAACAAAAGCAACAATGCTAAAACAAAAAGTAGTGATAGAGCTGAGAAAGGACTTGCAGACAGGTCTCACCTCTGAGCTAAAACCTGTATTTGGATCAGTTTAACCCAAAATGGAAAGTAAAATACCCATGCCCCCCAACAGGAAAATTTAGTTGCAGTATTCCAGAGTCATTTTCAGATTTTTAACTCATTTGCCTAGGCAGGGTCAGTGCTGAAATGGAAATCTGAAAGACTTCTGTTTGAAAAACATCAGAACATCTTAATTTTCTTAAAAGGAATTCCCATTTTTCTCAGCCAATCATAGATTCAAGAAACAGCTTCCGTTCCCCAGCAGTTGTATTCTCAGCAAAATTGGCTATTAATCTAGCAACGCTTTGGGTTGGCCGATTAGCAGTCAAACTTACATTTCATCAGACAGAACATGCTGTCTTCCATTTGATATGGCAGGGCCCTGGAAAAACTCCTCCTTCATGCTGCTCATTGAAAACAGGATCCATTTAGGTTTAAAAAACAAACAAACAAACAAAAAACCCCTCCTTGCAGTTTCAGCAAATTAACTCATCAGTATTATCTTCCTTTGTTGAAGGTCCTTGAGCCTACTGGAAACATACATTTTCACTTCACTGACATTTTGCTGTTCTGCTTGTAAAATTCAGCGAAAAGCTACCTATTTGTCTTTGTGTGTACATCCACATAAGTGATGTCATTTGGCCGTTACCAGTGTGACCAAAGTTCTAGGCACACAGGTTACTGACCTCAAAACACGCTGTTTGAAATCCTTGTTTGACATAATTTGTGTTACTCTCTACGTCAATAGTTATTTGATCTGTTGTCTACTATATTTACAACTGAACAAAATAAAGAGAATAGAAACTACCACTCAATGCAGTTTTCTTAATACATTCTCCTGTCTCAGTACAGGAGTAATTTCAGCTACACTAGCAAATAGCCTGCTTTTTAAGAACAAGGATGTATAGGTATCTGCAACGAACATGAATAATTTCTGATGTTATTAGAAACTTAAACTCACAGTTTAAGAATCATAGTTGAGAAACATGAACATCTCACTAAAATGTGCCGGACTTTCCTCTTCATTACTTCAGCTGAAAATCATTCCGAACTATTACAATAAAATTTTGTTCCATATTTTCATTGCATGATGAACGTCCAACATGGAGGTAACACCTGACTTCTTTAGGAAAGAGTGTATGTATAGCCAGATGAAACTGGGTTCCCCGCAACCAGGGACACTGAACTTTGATATGAGTTAATGGTACAGAGGAAGGACAGGAACAAAGAGAACTGGAGGGGAAAGAGAAAGATGAACAACAGACTTGCCTAATAAGAGGCCAGCAATCCCAAATCTGTGGCCTGTGTTCTCTTCCCATCATAGGCAGGCATCGGCATTAGTTGCGGTTTCATCAGATCAGACCTCCATTGTGATACCACCTTACGAACTGCAGCCAAGGAGGAGGGGCGAGGGTGGGGAGGGAAAAGGAAACGAGAGAGGGTTACAGCCAACAATGTGTTACTATACCCGTCCCAAGCAAAGATGGCGTGGATCTTCCCATCATCCCCACGTCAATGTTCTCAATAATATTCATCAAACAATTTATTAAGAATTCTGAGGTGAAAAGTTTATTCATAGGAATGTTCCTGTGATGCAGCTTTAATAAATCACAGTTCCTGGATGGAAAGAAATACATATCACATTAGATCTTCCTTGCCCAAGGTCACTGCTGAGATTCTTGGTGGCCACAGCTGCTTTAGACACCCAGTAGCTAGCTACATCATCCACCTAAAACTGAAAACAAAACATCAGATAAAAAAATTTGGCATGTGTAACAACCTCAAGCAGCACTGTGGCATAATTTGCAGGGTATAGCTACATTTGTTATACCTGAAATCAACCCTCATGTTTATTTGTAACAGCAATAGCCATCTGATTAAAACAATAATAAAACTATAACATCTATTTCTGAGTCACTTGTCGTGGATAATTAATTTGCCAAGAGCATGAGCCACCCAGTTAGAAATTAGTTAGAGAATGACTCATTTCTAACTTTATACTAATATTATCCTTAAAATAAAAGGATTCCTCCCTTACCCCTAAATTGTTGCATGTTTTGGTTATTTTCACAATGCCAAAATCTGCTTTATATAGAATATTTGGATTAATTGTTGGAATAATTCTCTTCATTTTATAATGCCATTCACCCAGAAAGATCTTACGGTGTTTTATAAATGTGTGTGTATTCTTCAGTACACCCACATATATGATGAAGCGTGGTAGCATGACAGTACTTGGTAACACTATACAAAAGCACCTGACTGGAACTGCAGTGCTATAATCTGTTGAAACAGCAAAGGGAAATTCAGATACACAAAACTGAATTACTAACAATGGAATTTTGCCATTTACACCTCAGTTTTTGCAAAATGGGGTTTATTCTGACTACAGAGGGTCAGATCAGCCAGTGCTTGGTAATATTTATCATTTCAGTGGAAACCTTTCAGTTTCTTCAGGTTTCAGCTGTGAGAAAACTTCCAGTAAGGAAGCCTGGCCTGTTTCAAAACTCTGCTGATCCTTGGCTGCAGCATGTTGTGACAACATCAGGCAGGGCAGCATCAAATGGAGAACTATAGGTTGAACTACGTTTGGAAATACTCTCTCTCTAACTCTGCAAGTCTGGATATGCCCAAAGGCTGCAATCCAGCAAGCCACCTGCGTATTTGACTCCTTGCTGAAGAATTGCCAAAGATGCAACTTCACAAGCAATTTAGCCACTCTAAGACCACTTAACAGAAGAGAAGCAGCCCTGCCCTTTTGTCCCACCAGCATTTCTGCCTGCTCTTCTGCTGTCCCAGCACCTGTTTGGCCACACAGATCTACTTGCTAATTTGGCTGAAAATAATGGTATAAGAATGTGTTTAAAAAACAAGCTGCTCATTAATCCACTCTTTGAGAAGCAACTGAGACTTCATGAGTTTTCATCATCTTTCATCTGCTGGTCCACTTTCAGGGAAGAAGAGTGTGTTTCTCTTCAAGGACTGCAAAGAGCACTGTAGTCCGATTGCATGGCACAAATACAGGCCCTTCTTTTCAGGAGTATGACTTCATTCTATGCAGGGCAGATGTCTAGTGTATATTAAGCTCCCTGCCTTCTGTTTTTCCTACAGGATGGGCAATGCCCAGCCTGAAATACTAATAAAATATAAGCTTAAAAAAAAAAAAAAAAGGCAAGCTTAGAC